AGACTATCTCTGAATGGTAGAGAAGAGGGTCATAAATCATAGAAAAGAGATCAAGTTTCAATAGAACAGAAAAGCAAAGATATGAATCAAATATATTTTAAGAAGGTTTTCATGTATTTCTTGTTAATAGAGTCTTAAGAATAGTGAGCACAACTGTAAAACACATCACAGAAGTAGTGTAGGTGAGACACAGGGCGTTGTAGTAATTATTAAGCACTTGCTTTGCCTCAATCCTTAAGCCTGCCTGTTAGTGTGACCTGCCGTCTTCAGCAGATCCTCCAAATCCTGGATTAATGTTCCATGAGTTTATCTTAAAGAACCCATAACATTCAGTGTTTCCTACTATCCCTTTTCTCAACCAACAAGTGCCATGGATATCCTGAGCAATGACACTGACCCTTAATATTATTCCTAAAATTTACTTCCCTTAGACTGAAAACACTTCTATAGACACATAAGAACTTATTGGAAAAGAAGACTTTTAGTGTCTGTAATCGTGAGACTTGATATTTTAAATGGATTCTTTGGGGAATGTGAAATACGAATGGTTGGAACTACTCCTTTACAATATTATGATTTCCATAGACATGGAGTATGCATTTTCAAATTCAATGAATTTTAATAAGCAAAGCATTAATTCTAGACATTTGCATTCGTTTACTCATTAATTTGTTTAACAAATATTTATGGAATGCCACATTATGTGTGAAGCATTGCAGACCCTGTCTAAGGATGTCAGAGACCCTCTGGCAATTACTAGGTGCCCACTAAAGAATTGATCCAAATGTACATTTTATTAATGGGGGAAGGAAGCCCAGTGAAGTTGACAACTTAGTTACCTATCTAGTGTCAAATTCTCATCTGTGAATTCCCCGGGTAGAATCCTTGCCATGTAGAGAGGCTGAAAGAGTCCCGGAAGGCTGGATTTAAGGAGCTGTGGGTTGCAGCTCTTTGATTCTGACATTATGCAGCTCTGTAGACACAGGGAAGCCCCTTGGACTTCTGTTTTCCTAGATTTCTTTCTTTAAAATGGGAGCTGATACCTGTTCTACTGATCTCACAGGGGTGTCCTGACTATTAAATGAAATAACATACGTAAAAATGTTTTGAAAATGGCGTAAATCTAAGCAGTGGTGAAATATTATTGTCTTCATGGATGTTTAAAGTCACTATTTTAATTGTATCAAAGATTATGCCAAGAAATCTTATTTTTTTCTTTCCTTTACATATAGCAAACCTTATTTTGAAAAAAAAAACTTGAAAACTAGTTTTTTAATATTTAATAGGAAAGATTTTAGACAGTAAAACATGTTTTCCCCAGTCTGGATCTTGTCTCTTTTCTCCTCTAAGAAGTCCTGAGATTTCTATGGTGAAGGCAGATGTGTCTGCAGTTTTTGACCTTCCAATTTGCATTTATTTCCAGTGATTGACGATGAGGTACAAGGAAAAACAGCTGAAGGGAAAGTGTTATAGAAGCTAACTTTAGTCAGATTGCTGAAAGGAGACTTTTCTCAGATTAACACCTTTCTCCCTCACCACCAACCCCTGCCAAATCAAAAGCAATCAGGACACAGTGTAATATAGTTTTTCATTAACTTCTTCTAAGATCCCAACTATTGAACTTGGCAACATGAACTAATGTTAATAATGATTTTTAATACCAAAGTAATTGATTTTAACTGTAGAGATAATTCCAACAATTTCACAACATCCTGTGCAGATTGAATCCATTGAGGACGCCTCACAGGATCCAACACACCACACCAGAAATCTAGGCACTGACAGACAGTAGAACAAACAAGGCACTATTAAACAAAACTTACCGATACATCTGGGGGAAGAATCTGATCCTAAGAGATCTGCATCCACTCAGCTCAACTTTCTAGTCAACTATATGAAATCTCTAGCTGTAACAGAGATCTACAGCTGGAAGAAATAAGGAAACACATTACAAGTAGTGAAATGAAACTAGTTCAACAAGTCTGAACAGAGACGCCTCAACCCATAGAATGGCTTGAAGAAAACAGCCCAAAGACAGCGTAGTCTCAACAAGAAGGCAGTATTTCTGTTTTTGGTATTGACTAATTTTAAGGGAGAAGAAACTGGTTGTAAGGATTTGAGTGAGAAATACCTTAGGAATGCACTAGGATTAAGAGTTTAAAGATTATTTGTAGGTATACAATATCTTAAAGAAACCTTCACATAAAAGCTCTCAATAAAAATAATCAGATATTCTTAAAACCTAGATTTATAATATGATTCAGGAAATACTCCTTAAATTTTTGTTAAACAACAGCTATCTTCATGTATCCAGGGTGTAGTGAATTTATTAATACATAATCATTTTTCTTTCTTAAAATACCTACTTCTCAGAGTACATACAAATAAATTCATATCAAACTAGATTTTTCCTAAAATGACTTAAGGTAATACATGTATATTTAATTTATATTTATATAATATATATTTATACATATATCTCCCTATGTATTTAAATACCTGTGTGTGTATGTGGAAAGAGAGAGAGAGGGAGAGAGAGACATTTGTCAGAATGAAGAAAACAAAAGAGATCAGGGAAACAAAGATTATTTTCAGTAATTTTTCAGTTAGACAACATGAATTACCAACTCTTTGTGAATATTGAAACATTAGAAATGAGGCTGAAACTCTTTTTGACCATGTCCTAATCATGGTTCCTTTCAGTGTCCTCAGGAGCAACTAGTGTTACGAGGGTCCATCTCTATAGAACATACTAAGCATTTACAGACACACACATATAGTCATAGAAAAACATATATGAATATTAATTAAACAGTATCATACTTCGCACATCCTTGTACAATCTGGTCTGTCTTTAGTTTTTAGAAGTTCTTTTAGAAGAGACACAGATCCACCTTATTCTTTTTAACAGCTACATGAAGTATGAATATACTTAGCGTTTAGCCTTGATTATAATCTTACAACCAAATGATACCCATTTAAAGGGAAACACTACTTTAAATAAAGGTTTTCAGGGGTCATCGCTTGGGGAAAGTACAACTGAAATCATCTTAGTACCACATAGTGCTTTAAGCACATAGACTTTCTAGAATCAGAATGCCAGGGTTCAAATCTTAGCAGTTTCCATGTCTGTAAAATAGGAATAATATTGGTGACTACTTTGTAGGCTGAAATGTAAATGTGTTAATAAATGTAAAATGCTTAGAATAGCACCTTGTGCAATGGTAGTACTACAGAAACGTTAGGCATTATTATTGTTAGGCCTTTAGTTTATACACATTTATTTTCTTATTATTTACAGAAACACTTAGTGAAACTTATTCTATTGAACTATACAAGGAGCACACATGGTTACACTCTTTCATTCCCTCCCCATCCCTCCCCTCCCCTCCCCTTCCCTCCCCTTCCCTTCCCTCCTGTTTCTCCTGACACAGTGCTTCATGGAATAGTGAAAGGAAACTGGACTTAGAATGGACTACTGATGCCCTGAAAGTTATGTGAACTTGGACAGGCTACTTAAATCCTTTGAGCATCAGTTTCTTCTTACATGAACTGAGCTGGTATCATTTATGTGCATTACTTTTGTGAGATTTAAATGATAGCAATGTATGTGGAACTGTCTAGCATTCCAATAATAAATGACAGCTTCTGTTGTGGACGGCAGAAGGCCTGGTAGACAAAGCCCAGACTTGGTGGGAGATACTCCTTTCTGTAAATCCTGGCTCCCCACATACCTGCTGCTTAAACCTTCTGCATCTTAGCTTCTTCATGGAATTAACAACAGCTTTCCAGGTTATTATAGAAAAAAATTAAACAGTACATGCAAAATGCACCCCCACACTAGCTGGCATGTATAAGAACTGAATTGGAAACTGTATTGAGATCCAAGGATGGCTACCCTGAATGTCAGCAGGGCAGAACACGGCAGGAAGTTTGCTCAGAACTTCTCTTTTGGCCCT